AGGCGGACGAGAAGCTCTACCGCTACTGTCTGGAGGCTGTTCGACTGAACGGCACCTTCGGCGCCTTCCGCGAGGCCAAGGAAACTGTCACCGTTGAGGAAAATGGCAAGAGCTACACCATCCAGCCCGGTCAGCAGGTCTTCGCCTCCTTCGACCAGGCCAACCACGACCCCAGCGTCTTCCCTGAGCCAACCCAGGTCAACCTTAACCGTCCTCTTGACTCATATATCAACCATGGTCAGGGTCCTACCACCGGATTTGGTGAGCAGATTACCAAGATTGCCCTCGTTGCTATGCTGCGTGTCGTCGGCCGTCTGCAGGGTCTCCGTCGTGCTCCCGGTCCCCAGGGCCAGCTTCAGAAGATTCCTCAAGAGGGTGGCTACCACGTTTACCTCCGCGCTGACGGAACTTCTTACTGTCCCTTCCCCATGTCGCTTAAGCTGCACTGGGATGGTCCCTTCGAGCAGAAGAAGGCTCAATCTTCCTAGTTTCCCCCTTTGAGTTTGTTGGTTGAAGCTGCTTATATCAAAACTGCGGACATGCTGTGTTGTGTGGAGGTAATTAAGTTTGGGTTGGCTATGATTCTATGCCCTTTTTTGTCTGTTTTGTTTTTGACCTGGTCGGTTGCCAGAATATCCAGAAATTGTTGAAGCTTTGTTTATAACAGTGTAATGTATAGTTCATGAATAATTCACTGATTTCATTTTCCCCCTTGAGTGCAACTTGTAGAGTAGGTAGATAGAATGTCAATTATTCGACCAAGTTAGAGAAGATCATTGCAATCGGCCTATTAAAATCGTCATAGTTGTTTACCTCCACCGCCTTAGGACTATACTGCCACGTCCATTATCCGAGGGTCAAGCTACATTTGTTCTAACTCCAACTTCACAATTGCAGCATCCCACGACAGGAAACCTTCTTAATATTCTTCACAATGCCTCCACCAAAAGCAGCAAAGGGTGAATACATCGAGACCGTAAGCAACTCCCCCAACATTAGCCTCTCAATTCACACCAAATCTCCCAACCCACCCAAAACAAAGAACCCCAACCTAACCACCAAAAAAACAGGACACAGGAAACAAAATCTCCCGCCGATCCCAAATCCATGGCACACAACATATCATCCTAGGTGGGAAAACAGTGATCCAAGCCGAAGCCGTAATCCGCGGCGACCTATTCCGCACCGCAACACTCCCTCCCAGCGACCCCAACAATCCAGCCGCACCAGCAGCCGCAAACCCCAGCACGCCCAGCGTGGCGATAACAGTTGGACGATACAGCTACATCTCCAAGAGCGCGATCCTACGCCCGCCGAGCCGACTACACCGCGGCATCCACTCGTTCTACCCGCTCAAGATCGGCGACCATGTTTTTGTCGGCGAGGGTGCTGTTGTTGAGGCTGCGTCGCTGGGGAATCATGTTCATGTGGGCAAGGGCGCTACTATAGGTAGTATGGCTATTATTAAGGACTATGCTTATGTGCTTGATGGCGCCGTTGTTCCGCCTGGTATGGTGGTGCCGAGTTGGTGTATTGTTGGTGGGAGGCCCGCGAGGATTGTTGGCGAGGTTGGGGAGGGGTATGGTGTTGAGGGGGCTGAGGGGGGTATGGCTAGGGAGAGGTATCGGGTTGTTGGGAGGCCTTGAGAGAGGTTGGTGGGCTTTTTTTGTCTTCGGTTTCGTTTCTGGTTTTGTGATACCCCCCATGCTACATACTTTTAATGTTGTTGTTTTTTTGAGATATCGATTTGTATACCAATTGAGTATCTCCTGTGGCAGACAGTTCGGATGTTGTTTTTTATATGCGTGCTGCTAATCACCGAAGGGGAGTCAAAGAAAAGTACAATTACCCCATATTCTCCACCTCGACTGCACGTTTGAGCCGCAATTCATCTTTTTTGTTAGGGAGACCAAGCTTTTCAAACGCCATATCATCGATCCAACGGCCATTGGGCCGAATGGACTCACCGCGCGATAACGTGGAAGAGAGATACATCCAGTTGAGGGCATTTCCCACGGTACTCACTTCATCACTTACATTATGAATACCATACTCCGACATGCGGTGGTACAGATCATGATCCGTCCAGAGTTCAAACAAGCGCTCCGCCACAGCATCGGTATCGCCCACATCAACCAGGAACCCATTCTTCCCGTGCGCAACCTGCAACGGGATGCCGCCGGCACGCGTAGCGATGACTGGTTTGCCTTTGTGGATTGCCTCGGAGACTTTTACCTCGAAGCCTTCGGATGTGGATAGTTGCAGTGCGACGGTCGCCTTGGAGAGAATGGCGTTCAGGACTTGGTCGCAGGGCCGCACGCGCATGGCGCAAATCAGATGGCGGATATTTGGGACTTTGGTGTCGAGATATTCGATTGTCTCATCGTAGATTCTTCCTCCGTCGGGATCATCTACTGATCCGTGTCCGCAAATCAGTAGTTTGGGAGGGACCATATTTGGTGCTTCGGCTACGAGTTTGTTGTAGAATTTCTCGTAGGACACTAATACATCCACAATACCCTTTGACGGGTCGAAGCGTGCGATCTGGACGATATATGAATCTGGGTTTGTGTTAGTTTACACCGAGGGACCAGATGCTGATTTAGCTACTAACCCTCAGGCCATTGAATAGTTGGCATGTCCGCATTACGACAGGCTGAATTGAAGATGCGGCCATAGTGCGCAATGTCCCAGTCCCGCATAGTCTTGTTCAATCCATCCAACCTATGTCCCAGTCAGTGAGATGAACGATGAAAGCAGACTATCAGACTTCTCAGCCCTTACCAGTCAGTTGCCGCAGGCATATAGCCTACCATCTCTTGGGGCACATTGCGTGGCACGAAGGCGCTCACAGGGTGGCTGATATAACAGTCGGCGTGTTTAATATTATCCCACAGGAATTCCCAGGCCTCCGCCTGTGGAGAACCAGGTATCGCAACTAAATCACTTCTGATGTGGATGTGGCTTCGAAATATGATTGGTCGATTCGGAGCTAGTTTCCTTGCGATGGGAATGAGGCCTGGCATCTGGGGATCATCGATGATCACGACGTCTGCACCGCCCTCTGATGGTGGAAGTAAAGGTCCACCTGTTCGGGTCCAGTATCTTCTGGCATTCTCCTCAATCCACTCCTGCAGGAGTTTCTTGTTCTCTGGTGTTAAGCGCTCGTCTGGATGCGCGACACCTTGGAGGATATTGTGGTTTGTTTTGGTTACCCGGAAGACACCCGGGCGTGGTTTTGGAACATACCTGCGAGAATTGAGTTAGTATTTATTCCTGCAATGACACAGATACATAGGTACAGGCACAGACGCACCATTTCATGTCAGTGCCCAGATAATGTGAAAATCGCAAGAGAGCATGCCGCATTAGAGCCACACCACCACCTTGGGGGGTGGAACTGAAAAATGCCACTTTCACATTGCGTTCTTTCAATTCAGTGGCGTAGCGTTGCATTGCGGTCCAAGTTCTATCCGAGACTGTTTTCTGGAAATCACTCAGGTCCGCAAGTCGCACATGGTACGCTGTGTCTACTTCCACCAGCCCGAGGAAGCCCACTTGTAGCAGGGGCGTGTTTTCCGGTCCAAATAGTCTGTATAAAGTTAGATTCAATGACTCCTTTGTAATATTGAATGGGACCAACCAACCTAACACCTTTTCGGGCCATGGATTCAGCCTGTTCGTCGAGGGTCTTTTCATTCCATCCACTCGATCTCGGATTTGGGTTCTCACTAGCCTGTTCGATGCTGAGTCTGTCTATGAGAGTTGCGTTCGACAGGACCAATGGGACGATGTCGAGCTCCGCCCAAAGGCGAGGACATAGTCTAGGGCAGTGCTTTGCAACATGTTCCGGCATTGATATTCCAACAATCTTCTCGAGGTGGCGCGCTGAATATTCCTTCAGTTCGGAAATGATGAAATCAGTAGCTTCGTCTGAAGATGCTTGGCCGTTTGTGAACTTCTTCTCGATGAAGTCTAGTAAATATGTGGTGTCACGGATTGCGATTGCTACAGTTGATGTATGGTGATCTTCAAAATTGCTGGATACACCGGCGTAGATAGTCTAGTAGTCATATTAGGCTTGTCAAGAAGTGGTTGTTCCTGCTACTCCAGAGAGATTCATACATCTGGCGGCGGCCCTAACCAAGCGTTTCGCTCGTATTGTAGCGCCAGTCGACGCTGCTGCGTGACTGAGGCATGGCGTTCGAACTTGTGTCCTTTGCCGTGCATGACTCTTAAGAATTTCAAACAATTAGAATTGTCCCAAGAAAGAAATCAAGAAAAGAGCTGTCCGCTATGTATGTTAACCACCTTGTGTGACTTCATTTGACCATGATGTAACGACATTCCACAAGCTGAGGATATGTCGCCAACGACAAACCTGTTTCGAAACTCCTCTTGATATCTGCTTAATGCAGTAGGACAGTAATACACTGACTACATTGGATGTGTAGCGGAAATGTAGGTGTCATTGAGTGAGTATCTTACAAGAAAGTGACATGCTACACTATATACTATCGGAATGATTGTTCCTCCGATGCCGATCACCAGGAAAGGTCACAACCATGGGTCTTGCAATTTAATTTAACATTGGGGAATGTGTTTTTGTTAGACATATGGACTTCTATTGTCCATGGCATCAAACAATGGATAAAGTAAGTTCAAGAATGCTATACATGAAACGGAATACGAGGATGAAACTGCCTCGTGTACCTCGTGGTAACGGGCTATGATGAGTAAGCCCAGCCCAAGCCCCTTTTCTAGGTTCCCCCGCCTCAGGGAAATTAGATTGAAGATCACGCACCAACACACCTTCTTTTCTCTTTTTTCTATCCTTTTGTGGGCGGACCTGTCGTCTCAATCGAAGTCACTTTGTACGGAAACGTCTGGTGTCTTGCATTCTCTCTCACAAACCCGCAATTCATACGCGGGTCGCAATTGTTGATATTCCGCCAAACAGCTCCTGAGCACGTCCCGACACCGCGTCAACTCCCGCAAAAATGGGTGGACAAGTATCTAAGATGATGGGCAAGATCTTCGGAACCAAGGAGATGCGTATCCTCATGTTGGGTTTGGATGCTGCTGGAAAGACGAGTATGTTTCCTCGACCTTACTAGAGACCCCGGTCAAGATTGGCTAACATTCTTTCTAGCAATTCTCTACAAACTTAAACTCAGCAACCAGGACGTGACTACCATTCCTACCGTCGGATTCAACGTCGAGAGTGTGACCTACAAGAATGTCAAGTTCAATGTCTGGGATGTCGGTGGTCAGGACAAGATCCGACCACTTTGGAGACACTATTACTCTGGTACACAAGGATTGATCTTCGTGGTTGACTCCAGCGACACGGCGCGTGTGGAGGAGGCTCGCTCAGAACTACACAAGATCATCAACGATCGTGAAATGAAGGATGCTCTGCTTCTGGTGTTCGCCAACAAGCAAGATATTCCTGGCCGTGCGTATCTCCCGTTCCTTGAATTCGATGAACCTATCCGCTGACCCACTTCTAGACTTGAGCCCTGAGGAAGTGACTCAGCAGCTTCAATTGACTAAGCTCAAGGACAAGCTGTGGTACGTTGCGCCTAGTGTTGCAACAGATGGAACCGGTATTTTCGAGGGTCTTGTAAGTCGTGTCCCTGATCTATCAACTTGAAAGTCCCGATCTAACCGTGCTATCTCTTGCTAGGCCTGGCTCTCAAACAATGTCAAGACCCAGCCCCAGAAATAAGATGCACCGCTGTGATTTCGAGAGGCGGCCCTCGAGCAGCTTCGTTGTACAACATCTCGCATTATCAAGTGTTTTCCTATTTTCTCTTCATGTCCGTGTTCTGATGACAAGACGACGCAGCATTTGGGCTTTTATTTCCTTGGTCTTTTCTTTTGTTGGCCTTAGTTATCTCGTTGCTTTTTTCCACTGTTTATCTTCACTTCTATGATATCCCCTCTGTTCTTATATGGGCTTGTTGGGTCCAATTTAATACTTTAATTCCATCATGCTCTCTGCCAGCGTTGTTATTGTTTGTGTATACCCTTGGTCAATTGTGAATGCGCTTGTACACATAATGGCTACAACGGATACAGAGGAGGCAAGTTCTGGCATTGGTGATAGAAAATAGAAACAAATGACATACTTCTGATTAAAGTGCGTGATCAAATTCGCATCCCCCGAGGTCGTTGTTTCCACGGAGCCAACCTCCGCATTAAATCCAGATGTTCATATAGCCATGGATCAATTCCAACCCAGTCAGCTGTTTCTCCTGCTACCTCAATATGACGATAGCGGAATCCGTTCCCCCGTCATATGCAAATATAAATAGAATAATAGTTTAGAGTTGACTCTTGCAAAAGCGTCGTTTCTATCTACAAACATCAAGATACTGCCCTACTCTATCTGCCCCCGCAAACTTGTGTACAATTCAGTACATCTTCTTGGGATATCTAAGTTCATCATAACTCCCACGACAGCCACTACCACTACCACTACCACTACTACTACTTCCACCAGCGCCAACAGTAGCAATGCCAATGCCTCGCTACAAAGAAGGAGACAAAGTTAGTTACAAACCGGTCGGCGGTATGATGCACCCTTTTTTATAAGATACATATACATGTTCCAAATGAACAATCTAACAAAATACAATAGGCGCGCAATCCAGGACCAGCATGAGTACCGGACTCATTCTTGAAAACTTGGGGGGCCGTAGCGCGTCAGACGATGAGCCACGCTATAAAATCGAAAATCTGCACACGCACAAGAGCTCCAATATCAAGGAGGGCAATATCGAGGGACCGGCGGAGTAAACCGTGATCTTTCCGGTACTGGGAGATGTACATTGACTTAGCATACTAAATTGAGCTGGATTGCTTTGTCTAGAAATTTCCAGTATTCATAATTGTTAGGTGTAAGCCATTGTAGATTAACTCATTGTCGAAATATTGATGTGCTGTGCTATGTGTAAGATGTAGCAGGATGATTGGAAATGCCTATGATAACATTTTATATATTGAGGTCTTCAGATTCCTGTCTTGTAGCTGGTAGACTTATGTATTATCGGTGCCCAAATGACGTAGAAATGTGATAAAGAGAACTCAAGAGATCCCTGTATATTTGATGTGTTTGATTGGTTTCGTCACCACAACTTCAGCAAACGAAACCTCAGTTCGCTCAAGGCAACCTCAACTAAATCGACTATCTACAGCTGGTCGACGGCAGGTACCGATAAAACTGTGTATACCCACAGCAAAAACACTATGCTGATCCCTATTTCTCCAGACGATGAGCGACTTTCCACCGCCGGGGACCACCATCAAGACAAGGGGTTTCAGAGAAGTGTGCGAGGTTGACGGCCGTACATTTTTCCGAAAAAGGGGTGCACAGGAGTGGACCGAGGATACATCCAACCCAAAAGAGTTGAAGCCGCCGGCCGAAAACCCGAGTCTCTATCTTTACCTCGTCCAAGAAGAACAAGCCCCCGGAGAGCCCAACCATTGGGCACTGTTTCTTGCCGACGAAAACGAGCCTGACTATGGCTATGTTTACCAAGTCACGGGAGATGCAGAGGATATGAAATACGAACCATCGGCCGAAAAGATCAATGTAGTTGACGCCGGCCTCACTTCCAACGTCTACACCTTGGCCGTTGTGTCCCAGGAACAGGCCAGGGCGGCGAGGCTGGTGAAACAGGCTGCAGAGGAGGAACTTCCTCCACAAGCGGAGAATCGGAAGTCTGTTACGGAGAACTGTCAGGGATGGACTGCGCGGGTTATCGATAGGCTGGTTAAAGAGAAGATTGTTATGCCTCAAAAGCTCGAAATGGCGAGGTCCATGATGCAGGCTGTTTGACGCCGGGAGGCAGCCAAAAGGCCAGTGCTGCATCTCGCGTTTCATGTAAACATATAGAGAATGTTCTTGATTCGCGCATAAGTTAAGAGGGAGGGACAGAAATTTGGACTGAAAAGAAGCTCGTTAATTAAATTCAAGAAGACATCAAGTGCTTGTTCAAAGAAATATCATAATTCGTCCCAGGCATCTAGGACACAACTGTAAAACCAAAATCCCAAGCCCTGTTACATTTGTTGAAAAGTAATAAGAATGGCATTGACCAAATTTTTGAGTATGAAAACGGACAGAAAAGGGATTTTATTGTTTGGCTTAAACACCAGGTTTAAGCCTGATTGGGCCAGATATCGTTGGCAATATCACGGACCAGCTGCAATTTGTTGATCATGCCGTCCCAGTCGATAGCATTACCCTCACGATGAGAAGCAAAGCCACACTGTGGGCTAACACCGACCTGGTTAAGCGCAGCATCGAGGGAGATGTTGTTACCCTCAGCAATAAACTTAGCAGCATCAATGACCCGCTTCTTCATCTCCTCCTTATCCTCAAGCTTGGCGAACTTGCTAGTCACAACACCCAAAATCACGTTCTTGTGGGTGGGCAGGAACTTGAGAGGTTCGAAACCACCGGCGCGGGGGGTGTCGTACTCGAGGTAGTAGGTGTGGACGTTCAGCTCCTGGAAGAGCTTAATAGCAATACGGTCGTAGCCACCCTCGGAGAAGTGCCGACTTCCGACAAAGTTACCGCGGCATAGGTGAACACCGACGTGCATATCGGCGGGCAGGTTAACGAAGCAGTCGTTGTACTGTTTGATATACTTCTCGAACATGGTATCGGCGGAGTATACATTCAGAGGGTCCTCCTTGAAGCCAGTGAGGAACTTATCAGAGCAGAAGTCTGAGTGAAAGGTTAGTTCAGTCGATATTGGCTGCATGGGTACATCTTACAAGCCAGGTTGGGGTCGTCGAATTGGACGTTACGGCAGCCGGCGTCATACAGGATCTGAAGCTCGGCCTGGTAGGCCTTGGCAATGTCGCCGAAATAATCCTCGTCATTGGTGTACACAGACTTGGGGTAAGCCTTGCCCTCACGGTAGCGCAGGTGGTACCAGTTAGGCGCGGCAAGAGTAATCTTCAGGTTTCCGACCTCGTTGGCAGGCACTTGGCTGGCGAGGTACTTGAACTGGTCGACGTAGGTGCTACCAACGTGCTTGATCTTGCCGGTACAGATGACGCTCTCACCGGGCTTGTGACCGGCCTCCAAAAATGCGGCGATATCGGGGGCATAGGGACGGAAGTCATCCACGTCGACATTGTTGACCTCCTCGAAGCCGTCTAGACCGGGGAAGAAAGTACCCCAGAACACTATATCTGTCAACACGACTCGTCCAATAGCTATACGGATCTCTTACTGTGACGACGATACTCGCCGTCGGACAGAGCGGCATAGCCAAGCTTTTGCTGTGTCCCAACGATGGCATTGATCTCCTTGTCCTCAGAAGCGGTCAATTGCGACTCGGGGATCTTGCCAGCCTCGAAAGCGAGCTTGGTTTCCAAAAGCTGATCTGGGCGCAAGAGAGAGCCCAAGTGCTCGGCGCGGAAAGGAGGACGCTGATGAAGTTGAGGAGCCATTGTGAATAGATTAACTGCGAGAGACGATGAGCGTTGTTTCTATAAAGATGCGATAATATCGTACCTTAGCAATCTACTAGGACAAGTCAATGTGAGAAGAAAGGAAGGAAGTTTGGGAAACGGATGAATCGAAAGAGGGGCATGGCATTGTCATTGCCATCTCATCCGAGGCGCCCTCCAGGGCTACAACGAATCCAGCCGTGATAGGCATTGCCCCACAGCAAAACGCTGAGGCTCTCCACATTTTCGGTTGATTTAGCTGACTCGGCCTGCGGGTTTCCTTTGGTTTGGAGTTGCCGTCCATCATGATCTGGTCTCCTTGTCTTGGTCAGTTAGCTGATAGCAGTCGTCCATATAACAGGACATATTGAAGACCCTATACAAATGTAAGTTGGTATGATTTAACAATGCGGGGGATCCTCGGCAATTGAACAGTAAAATAACCAGTTCCCCGTTATTCCACTCCGTACGAAGTACTCCGTAATATCGTTGTGTCTTCTCGGGCATGTCTCAAATCTAATAGAGTGCACGGACCATCAGGTTTCCCGCTTCTATACATTTTCTGAGGTCTCCCTGGTTAATTGTATTTATTTGTCCTATCCTCCAATCCATTTTTCTCGTCTTCTCTTCCAACGGGGCTCACAACTATATCCATTCTCATTCTGTAAAAACCATTGAAGCTCTATCCGCTGAGTCACTGATTACAAAGAGTTCAGTGGAGCCAGCCCATCGATTGGAGTGGGGAAGCCCGGCACTTCACTTTCATTCCCTCAGCCGACGACTACTCCCATCCGGTCTACTAGTGCACTCTAGGTACTCCGTATACTGTCAGACTGGGCAGTTCTGGATATCCAATTGTTATAGTAATGTGGGGCGAGGCTCTCGACATGAGCAATTTGCCATGTCTGTGTCAGCCTCTCAGTCTCCTTTGGAACGTCTCCCCAATGAGCTCCTAGACCAGATTATCACCTACTTGACCACAGAGCCACCGTCATTTGGAAAACTACATAAGACACCCAGTCTGGAACTTACACAATCTCCAACAAAGGACCTCAAACATCTTGAACTATGCTCACGGCGCCTATTTCAACTTGTGCGACCTCAACTGTTCACTCATGTCCGACTTAACCTCCATGATGAACCCGATTTCCACTCTTTTATGGTCAAGTCAGGTCTCAGTCAATATGTGATATCTCTCGTCGCAATCGTCGATGAAACCCCAGATCGTCAGGTCAACCCGCTATGGTGGCGCCGAGTCCTCCATTATCTAGACCCCCGCCGTGTTCTAGTAATCGGGCCGCCGGTCTTCCTTGGCAACACTTTAGATAGCCCGATCAACGATGGACATCACTGGGCATTTGATATGCCCCTGCAGATCTTGCTTTTGGAACGAGAGTGCAAACCTCGTGATCCATCCCAACTGCCTAACCTGGAGAATTGTACTAGTCTTCTAGCATCACGACCGTGGACATCGATGACTTTTAATGAGTCATCTTCTCTGAAAGCATACAACCACTACGAGTACTTTCTTTCCTGCGTCCCATCGGTTCTTGTAGAATGGGGAACACGTGGGATACCCGGCACAGTCCGTGAGCTTGAACGACCAATCAGCTTGCCAGCTCTCTTGCGCGGCTTCACATACTTTTCCTACACAGCTGTGTTTCCATTTTACAATCACTCGCAAATTGTAATGGATGCTGTCGTGAGGATGCATCGTCTGCAGCGCCTTGATGTACAGTTGGCACCCCCTCAAGATAATCATATTACCGAGCTTGAACAACGAGGGTCTATGGATCCTAATGACCCGTGGATGGAACTTACAACCTCGTACTCTCTGATTGGGTATACTGTGAATCTTCTACCCTGTTTGCAAGAGTTCAGGTGTGGCGACCTGCATGTGGAGGCCATGCGGCAGGATCTGCTAGCCGTTTTGGACGATGCCATCGGAGACAAGGGCTGGGTGCATGATGGGCGTGGAGTGTGGAGGCGAGCTTGACCATTTTTCTACAAAATGTATCTTTAGCATGTTCCAAATTCTCTATCTACTTTCACCATAATACATGCAATTATTTCTTCATGACCAAGAGCAATATGCAAACAGTATTTTAGATTGAACGTTCAAGTATGTTGTAGAGTCGATCAGAGGGAAGCGCGTGAGTGAGGCTAGACCAAATCGGGGGATATCCACTTTCGCTTTTGTCTCCACCATCAACCACTCGCTCTTCGCCCTTCTACTTACATTCTGATATCAGATCCATAGGAACTTGCAAAGCTTTGTATACACGGAGCCATGGCAAGCGCACCAAATATTTACTCGGCAGAACCTGCGCTTCCGGTCCTTGCCGATTCCCTACTCCGACGGTCAGAGTCAACAGAGAATGCAGCTCCTCCTACAAATGAGACAACTGCAAAAAATGACTGGAATCTAAAAGATTATTGGAAACAGGGTATCCAGTCCTCCAAAGAAGCGGTTTTCCGGTGTGGGGTTGTCCTTGGCTTCTCAAGGATGCGAATGAGAAGCAATGAAAGCTACGAGTATATCGGACAGGTATGACTGACTCAATATTTACCACTGGCTATACATTGCCAAGAGACTAATACTACTATAGATTCCTCGATATATTCTCACAAACCAACTGCGGAGTGTCCATCCATCATCCGAACCGAGCGCATTCATTATCCACCCACGAAGTTTCGAGGCTTTTGCCCCAAGGACTCTACTCAATGAGCTGCAGTCTCCTTCCCATGATCAACCAGGTCTATCAAGGGATGATGCAATCCGTAGACTTGACTGTGTGCAGTTACTTCCCGTACACAACTTCACCAATGCCGCACAGGCCATCGGTAAGGTCTCGGAAGTGCTGGACGAGATCCAAGAAAAGCGTGAGCAACAGAGAAAAACGACCGAGGCAAGCCCCTCCACTGAAAATCCCATTATTCTCATCGTTGCGGGCCTTGATACCCTAACGGAAGGAGTAATTCGAGCCTCCAACCCGGCTCGAGGTGCAGCCGTTCTGACAGCTACACTCCGCACCTTGACGCATTTGTCCCGTGTGCACGCCTCTCATCTCTCGATAATTCTTGTCAATACTAACGGACTCGGGACCATGAATCCAGAGTGGGATAAAAAACAACCCCATGGGGATAGTGCTACGAGGCAGCCCCTAGAAGATGGCATCCACTCCATCTTCCATTCGGATATCCCCTCCCTATTCCCAACCTTGCTCATGAAGACATTAGACCAAGGCATCGATACCCATCTGTTGCTTTCTGATTTGAGAGGAGCTCAGATAGTCGAAGTGATCAAAGATCGAGTTGGTACAAGTCTAGGCAAATGGGGAATATGGAACGAGCAATGAATGATACGATACCATTTGCCATGATGTCGCTGTCAGAAAAGGATGACCTTGATCGATCTCGATGCAATTGTCCATACTCTTACAAAGAAAAATATTATCAATGACAGATCTGCCCCTCGCGAAGCGCCGCTTTGTATGCAATTGGCCCAAAAACCCGGCCACTACCATCCTGCTATATTAAAATCTGCAAAATACCAACTCCAGTCCATGAGCCTTTTGTTTTGCCTCTCCACAATCAAGGGGGTATCAAGCTTTTATTTGTGGAAACCGACTGGCCATGGAAGAAATCCATTCGACATTCAAGCCTGAGTATCCTTCTCGGCCCATCGTCTCATCACACCCCGCTCCACCACAGACCGAGCTTCCTCCTCACACTTGGCGAGGTCCTGCTCTGCCGTTTCCTCCTCGAAGAGAATATCCTGCTGCTGCACTTTGACCCACTGCTTGTGTCTCTCACACCGCTTCTTAGTGCAAACGCCACGCGTCCAGAATGTGATATCGTCTTCGCCGTCGCCATTCATCGCTGTGTCCCCGTCTGCGTCGGTACCAGCCGAGGAACTCACAGCTAAAGCTTCAGCCGTTCCCTCTGCGAGGGCTTTCTTTCCAACGTCGGAGAGTCGCCATTCATCGAATTCTTCGTCGGACCACGAGAGCCGCGAGTCGAAGCCACAGATATCTTTCCATCCGCCCTTCGGCTCGTGTTGCTTCAGTTTCTCAACTATGCCCTTGGCACGTGGCTTGAGAAGCGAGACGAACGTCGTGCGTGCCGCAAGCATTTCTTTGCGATGAAGCAGCTCATCGCGCTGCGCGCGCAGCTTTTCGATCTTCGCAATCTCATCGGGCGAGTATTCCAGGCCGTTTTCGTGGACGTCAACTCCCAACCACCTGCCGCTCTGCGGCTTTGATTCGGCCTTAATCCCAGGTGCATCGATTTCTTTCTGGTCTACCCGTGGTGGCGGGGAGATGATGCGATCGCCGAGCTTTCGGAATTCTTGTGTAGATGCTACCCCCATGATGGCAGCTTTCAGGTCCCCAGCTGTAAGAATGCCACCCATGGTACCCAGGTCTTCAAAGAGGCCGTTCGCCTGACCGGCACGTTGTTTAAGCTGCTGAGTCTGTTGGCGCATGAATTCCCGGCCGTGGTCATCGCAGCAGTATTTGCTTTGGGGCTTCGTCTTGGCTCGCGCGGGTTTCCGGCACTCGACTAAGCGACACATCGGTTTCCATGTCGTGCATCCCTTTCCTTCACTTGCACATTTCGGGCCTGGTGTTTAAAGTTAGTTTTAAATCGAATAGAGCCGTCACTCGTGGGGACTTACAGATATACCGCTCGATCAGGTCCGCATCTCGAGGATCGATATTGACGCATTTCCCATGGTACCAGTCATCACAGTCACCGTCACACCCGATCATCCACGTGTGGTTATCAGGTCGGCGGCAGATACAGAAGATCGCGTTTTCATCAAAGCTATCGGAGTCGTCATCTTCCTGAGCAGCAGCTGGTTTGGGCCCTTTCTTCTTTTTCTTCTGTGGTTTTTTCTTCTCCTCGGGAGGCGGCGACCCGGCTATCGAGACGGAATTTTGCTTCTTGGCGGGTGTCTTGCTCGAGCGGGAAACTGGTGTGTTGGAACGCCGCCCATCAAGGCTGTCTGCGTCCGGGTCATTCCCCTTACGCTTCTTAGTGGCAGGTTTCTTTGCAGTTCCCTTCTTGCTAGTGTTTGTTGTGGGCTTTTTGTTTGCTGGTTTGACGGAATTTGCTGGGGAGGACCGGTCGGACGATGAAGCTCTTGATGTCAGCCCGTGCTTCAGATTCGCCACTGTTTTGGACGTAGCGTAGTCAACCGCGCCATCGAGGCCTAGTGAATTTGTGTCCAAGTCATCACTAGCTGGGAATTTGTCGAGGGTAGAGCTTGTTGGTTCAGTTTTGACTGACGGCAAGGGTGTATCTTGGTTTGCGACCAGTGGAATACCCTTACTGGGGTCGTAGACACCATCGTAGAGGTCGGTCCACGTCACACTCTTCTCGGAACTTGCCACCCCATTTTGAGACGCTGGTCCAAGATCCCTGAAGAGTCGGTGGACCTTCTTAGCTCTGACAGTGCCAAAATATCCGCATTGCCGCCAGCCAGTAATCCCCACCACCCGGTTATCCTGAACAATGATATTGCTCGGGATGAAGTTGTTGTGTGTTAAGGATAGTTCCTCCTCCTTGCTTCTTTCTGTGAATAGAATATCTCGTTCGCGGGTCTCGATGGAGGGCGGGATTTTGGAGTTGAGTTCGCGGCATACATAGGACGGTTCGTCTTGGGGGAATCGATTGTTCCGAGTAGTTCGAGGATCTGACGACACTGATTCTTGAAAATCTCAATCTGCCCCACGTCAAGATACCTCCACGCAACTTCCAACGAGACACCCGCAATGCGGGACTCGATTGTCACATTCCTCCCCTCAATCACCCCGCAAAAATATAACACGGGCACTGCAACCCCAATCTCTCTGAGCGAGTCCTCTGCCTTCTGCGCTGCTGACAGTTCATTCGCGTTCGCAGACGAGTAATTCTCAGCCGCCGCTCCGTCGGCCGGTTCGCGGTCAACCCAAATAATTATACTCCCAGCCGCGAATGCCTCCCTCGGCCCTGAGGTATTGAGTGAGTGTTCTGGGGTACAGTATTGCTGTGCAACCTTCTCCCAGAACGAGTTCACGGCCGGGTCAGACCGATACCAGTTCATGAAGCGAGGGGTGAAATCGTCGGCGCGGGGTGCGTAGCGGCCATACTGCGCGCTCTGGGAAAGAAACGGGTCATCGCTAGAGATTTGATCGGGGTTTGTTTCGTAGGGGTTGGTTGTGGACTTTGTGGCCGCGGAGCCGTTCACGTGGTTTGCGCCGGCGGCCGCCTCCATCTCCGCCATGGCTGTCACGAGTGGAGTGGAGGGGTGTATTGCGCGCGGGTTCGAGAAAATAGCTCCAGGCTAATTCCCGTTCGTATTTGTGAGAAATGTAGCTTGTGTGGACTCTTATGAAGTTCAAATATGCGAGCGAAGATCGCGCGGGCAAAACTAAACCGATATAAGTTCCACCGAGACTGCCGGAGACATCATGTGGCTTGCATCGAGGGTGTAGAGTCTTGTAGCTGACTTTTCGGAATTTCTTGAGTTTGCGCGATCCCACTTCTGCAATTGGGAGAGTACTCTCGGTGGTCTCGTGTTGACTGTTGAATTCTCAGGTGGAAGGGTTGGCGCGATCCCACTGCCGATCGAAGAGATGGGAGTCTGGTCCAATGTCTTCGCTGAGGGTGTTTGGTTGGTGGCTATGAGAAGGAAACAATCCAAAATCCTCCCTTGAACATACGGATTATTTGATTCCAGCTTGATTCAATGTCCAGTGCCTTGAGCTCTGGATTGAACATCGTCGGAGTTGCGGGCTGAGCGCGAAGGCGGTGAGAAGATCCCGGACACGCGACAGCGACTTCCTTGGCTTCACTCTACTTCACTTCTCTCACTTCACTTCTACTCCTCCACGGATATTTCTCAGAGAGACGAATCAGATATTTTGACGCTTTATTCTCATCAACTTATTCAGTCAGAGATATCTACACCCCAAAAAAGACATCTTAGTGTCACCCCGGCATTTCTCTTACTGATACAGAGAAGAGTTCGAGATCACACAGCGTTCACACTCTTCATCTCGGACTAGGAACGCGCAATACTGACATCAGTGCTATAATTTCTTGATTTAGTCTCGGTCCCAAATGCTCGAGGGCCATTGGAACATCAATAACTTAAACCATACCTATATCCATTACTCAAGCCTTCCATTGTGCCCTTAGGTATGGCACATTTATCCATGAGATGCTTACGTGTTTAATATGTGACATTTATGTGCCTGGGTTTTTACTTCTATTCCATCCGCTCTACAGTGCTTACAGATAAAAAGATAACCATACATTTGGCTAGGTAGCTCCTGCGTGGTTGGGCATGATCACCTTCTCTCATATTATCCTGTACCACCACCGCCCATAGTCATGGATTTCAGGTAAATCTCAATCCCCTTCAACTTCTTCCGGAGTGAAGACACAATGGTTGCTGTCAAGGCACAGAAAACGTTGCTGGAGGTTTGAGCGACCCATGGTGCACGATGTGGTCTGATCAACAAAAGTGTATTGTCCATTTTTCATATGCGCCAAATTCTTTTTGAAATAAAACTCGTAGCTGGACTTATCTGGACTTTGAAGGAGTATAGCAAGTCAGTAAGTCAGTAATTAAGGGATTTACATTAGCGTTTAGCTGCAGGGATCCAAGCAATGAATTGAAGCGTGAGCGGGATGGCAATATCCTTTCACTGTGGCACCGTATATGTTCACGAATATGTACCAGATAACGTATTTCACCAGTGAATGGGCCACCAAAACACCATAGTAAATGCGATATATTATAACTTGATACCTGGACAACCATGTTCTATAGGGACTTTGCCTTATAGTATAGTACTTTGTAGGTGATATCTAGTATAATTAGGGAGTTTGGGGAAAGTTCATACGTTTGTGGCGGCGATGTATATATTTCTAGATTTTTAGAATGTAATTTTCGGTAATTTTCGAAATGACAGTATGATAGTATTCTACTCTCTTGAAATTGATATATAGTGCCAATAATTCTTATCAATAGCTATCGACAAATGGGGAGATAGAATAAAGATATAGTTGTTGAGATATAAATGTACAATATATCGCATTCACTAGTGAGATACGTTACCTAGGCGGTGCAGTGACTTGTTCCATTCGCTCCAAGGTTTCATTGTGCAGCGCCCGCGTTATCCAACCTTGGAACCTCGGATGCATTTCCGAGGAAGAGCGGTTATAAAAATCTTGCCTCGGTTATGCCAATATCACAAAATGCAGCTTGCTCGCAGCATCACCTGATAATTAACCAGGAACGACATTATATAAGTAGTCCTCCTTACAAGCATGTAAGCGGTGAGCAGTTTGCATCAACATGAATCCTCCCATTGTTGAAATTATCAAAACTATTCCTTCTTTTGCCGAGCTCCTAAATCGAGACGACCTACTCTCTGATGACCGCAATGTAACAAACGCATTTTTCAAGGAAACGGTGCACCAGAACAACGGTGTAACGGATTACCTATTCCGTTACCGAAGACCCTCCACCAACGAAGGCACGGATTCCAAAGCGTACCTCATACTACAATTGGATAAAGGGGTTACCGGTCAAGCACACATAGCACATGGAGGATTCCTCGCGACTGTGATGGACGAGGTGACTGGTGGTCTGGTTGGCGCCACAGGAATCGATAATGGCCATGGGATGTTCACCTTGTCTATGAAGCTGGAATATCTCAAGCCCGTATACGCTCCCGGTACGATCATGGCAGTGGCAGGCATTGTCAAGAGGGAAGGCCGAAAGGTCTTTTTGGATGCTTACATCAAAGATAACTGTGGCGATATCTGCACAAAGGCGGAGGTTCTGTTTATCACAAAAAGACCTCACAAGTCTTAGGTTTCACTTGAAAGGCCGTTTCTAGAAAGCCACACCCGCTTGGTACTTAGACAATATTGGCATTGTGATTGGAAAAAGCGAGACTCAAGCTCGGGATTTTTGAAAATTAATGACAAAGTGTCGCATGTCTGTATAGATATATACATTAATCATTTTTTGAACATATAAGCTATGTCATACTAATTCTTATAGTAGGAGATCATAGTATATTTAAAATCAAGCTGAATTATAATCGCGTTTAGTAGAGTGTTTTGGGGTCACCCGGTCATGCGAGAAATATGTTAGTTAACTACTGTGTTTTTTTTCCACCTGCTTTAGTTCTACCCTTAGAATTCTGTGATACTTTTACACGGTATGAGAAGAGTAATGGTATAGGACAATGCGGTTGGCAAAGCAAATTTCATGACCTCCAGAGACTCGTGGGTGCCTGCTCAGTCTTGAGTCTGGAGATCGAACACATGTTCTACCCAGTATAGAATGATGCCCGTGTCGCAATCATGGGTCACACAAGACAGACAATGAATGCTAGAGACCCCTTCGTGAACACTGAAACTTTGCAGCTTGAGATCTTGCACACCTAGCAGTATTTTGACGACCGATAGAATCAATGATCTAGTGGTTTCGTACTGTAACTAGTTCAAAGAAGAATGTGAATTATTTCTTTACATCAAGCTGATCTCTGCAGGGTTGGGGTCGAATAACTGATCGAAGTAGTCACAATAACCGAACGGTACGGAGTTGATCGGCAGAGGGCGATTAAACATCGGCGATAGGAGGGTAGTGTCAATGTTGAAATTCGGATAGCTGGCCGTTGTGATCGTATTCGTTGAATCAAAGAGATTGTAAACATTTATACCTTGGAACTGCTGCAGACCACCTTGCAGCGTTAATGGCCTGACAACACCCTGCATGGACAAGGCAGATGAGGAGTGTGGGTTTGGCGGTAGGGAGCTAGTGGGCTCAGCCTTGATAAGCGCGGTGCAGGATGGTGGGCTGTAAGTTGACGGGATTAGAGGCAGACAAAACTGCTTAGGGGATGAGAAGGTCTCTGGGAAAATGCATGGCACAGAGATTGGAGAGTGCGTAATCTCGGAGATACTCTCGGAAGACTTCTTGCGCTGCACAGGCTTGAGGTTCTCCTCGCAGTACTTGACCTGGCTGTGATCTAGTGTACCGAGCCGGACCAGAATATCGTGGGTAAGAGGGTGGCCGTTGGGCTCGGGCTTCAGGCAGGTGCCTGGCCAGCCATTGCCATCGATTATTCGTTGGTAGAGCTCCTGAAGGGCATTGACCAGCCAGCGTTGTTGCTGCTCAAGCATCTCAATATACCTAGACCGGGTGAGTACAGGCAGTCAGCCTGAGAATGGTCTTTGTGTTATTATGGGTATTCCAATGCCTTGCTCACCCCTTGGGGTACATTTTATCAATGGCCCTTTTCCGTTTCCCAAAAATGCAAACGAAATTATTGGCTCGACAGCGTGAACATGGGCTGGTTCCGTCACACTGGTCCGGTCAGTCCTCTGCGATGGCAACGTGTCTCCTACTCTTTTTCCGTTGGCGCACACACCTTCGACTTCTTGAGACGACATCTATCGCAGGCTTTGCACACACGCTTGTGCACGTGATCTGAATGAACGTGGTCGAAAGTCGGCGTTAATCGACGGGCAGCCATCTTGTGTATTTGCAACTGATGGCGAGGGAGGATGATCGAGGAAGAAGCAACAACCACCAGGGAGGGAATAGCCTCTACAGGACTTTACAGGGCCAGTCTCTGTCTCTATGAGGGGATGGAAGGTTCTGTGTAGCAATTTTAAATTCCCTATACATCTAGTTGGATCGGATTGAAGCAGAACTGTGTATAGGCCCGGTTTCACTCGATAATCAGGGAGTCCAGAATTTCCTCCCCCTTTCATTCATATTTCCCGTCTCATTGGTCTATCCACGCATTGGAGTCTCGGAGTCTCGGCATTTCGACTTTCTCAGTTGTTCGCAATGAGAATACCTGGTTTCGTTTTATGAAACCTCTTCCTTCATAATCGCCTTAGCGGCCTGCATAAAAAAAAAGCAATTAGATGGGGACGGGACATTACCCGGCAAGCCCCACAGACTTGCGCAAGCAGAGTCCCCGGGAGTAAATGGATATTTTGGACATTATGAAATTTTATCTTCTGTTTGAGGAAAAGAACGTTTATCGAAGTATTCATATTGCATATTTATCTTAGACGTGAATCTAGACAGACTCGCAAACTAGCGGGCAGACGAGAACCGTTTATGCGTGACCCCTCATATTTTGTGAATGTGCATAATTTTACCAATCACTACATAATATCTTGATAGGAATTGACATTCTTGGTTTTTTTTATGTATTTCAAACTTGGTCATAAATACACCAAATTTGTTACGAAAGTAGCTTTATTTATTAGCTTATAGGAAATTGACTGCTCAAATGTAGCAGTATACTGATAAGACTTATTGATCGCGGCCTCTTCTTCTTACTCAGTTGGTCCGCTTCCAGTCTCTGAGATTATGGGGAATAATCTCCATATGCGCTGGAGCATTGTGCTTACCGAGGTTATTCAGAGAAGTCTCCTTCGTCTGCCTTGTTACTAGGTTAGTAGCTGATGAGAACGCTGATTTCAAGGTAACATGCTCCAAACGTATCGAATCTACTGATTTTCTGCCCGGCTCCAGGATTCCGAGAACGGTGACATATCTCTTCTTTTCTACCTATTCTCTCAGACTAGTAAGCCTCCCCTTAGTAGAGATATTAAGCAAGTTAACGTCTTGTAGTTAAAAGTGCGTACTAGTTCCATGTAGACTACTCTAAAGATGGCTTTGATAAAAGATATCGCTAATGGCACGACAATTTATTGAACATACCAGTCTTAATTACGAACCACTTTGCTGTACTGGTAGAACATCCAGCACACATAAATACTGCTAGAGCCTTATATGTGCATGTTTCTATGCATAAGCCGTTCTAGCGGTTGCCTGTAGTGCATTTCTTAACAAAATAGTGTGGGGCAGCCTGATCATGAGGTATTTTCATACTTGTCTCATACATGGATGCTGGCCAAATCAGAATTACTTCTCATCGCAGTCTAGACACCTGCAAACTTTCTCCGTGAGACTCATAATTTTATGCATCGATATAATTTCCTTAAGCATTGCGCGGGATTGTAGCCATTTCCATTCCTTCCAATCGAAATGTGGATCGTGATATTCACAGATAAGCTTTGAATCTTACTTGAAACCATTGAAAACCATTGAAATCGTGTTTAGGAGCAACCTAGTAACCATTGCTGGTCTAGAAAGATATCGGATTTGATTGTAACGGCTGCCACGGCATCTATAGCTTTGAGAGATTCCTAGAAGCCCAGCTATCCGTGACGGACCCACAAACTGATACCCTCAACAAAGAATAATGTAATGAAACTATGCATAGCATATTGTGAAGACGTGATGGATGAAATAACAGAGAAAAATCGATTGTTTGTGATAGTGTTAGGTAGTGAGACCGATTATAAATATGGAAAGATTCGTCCAGAACGGATATCTCGGCCACTTTCAATGCGAGACCTAACTCAAAGCCAAAATTTCGACACTCTTTTCAAACTTTTCTTTTCTTTATTATATCTATCTTAAGTACCCTCTTTTCTTTGCACATCCAACTGTTTCATTTCGTCCTATATTCGCCTCATTCGCCTCATATTTGCGTCGTTCTTTATTTGATTCATTTGCTATCCCATCCCTCCCATTCCTCTCTCTTGTGAATTTCTGGATACGACCACTTCGGAGACCATGGAATCCGTCGAAGAAAGTTCCATTCAGGAGCGTTCCATCGAAGAAGGCAAAACAGCCTATGTCTTCCCAGATGAAAGCCATGAAACGCTGTTGGATGTTCGAAATGGACCGATAGTAGCCCCTCGACCGCGCTCAGACTGGGCTATGGCTCAGAAGGTGGTCGAAATGCAGGAAAGAGATCTTGCTGCAGGCTATGCCAAACGTGAGCTCGGGGTTACCTGGCAGAACTTGAACGTTGAAGTCCTCTCCGCGGAGGCATCGGTCAATGAGAATTTCTTCTCCCAGTTCAACCTCCTCCAACTCGTGCGTGACTTTCGGCAGAAGAAGCGGATGAGAAGCATCCTGCAAGACAGCCATGGTTGCGTGAAACCAGGGGAAATGTTGCTCGTGCTGGGTCGCCCGGGCTCCGGATGTACCACATTATTGAACATCCTTTCAAACCGGAGAGCGGGCTTTCGATCGGTCTCCGGCGATGTGAAATTCGGCACCATGAATCCGGAGGAAGCTACCCAATACAAGGGGCAAATCGTTATGAATAGCGAAGAGGAGATTTTCTTTCCTACTCTGACGGTGGGCCAGACGATGGATTTCGCTACCCGCCTCAAGGCACCTGCTCATGTCCCAGGTAGTGTTTCACCCTCGGACTGGGCCGGTAACTTCAAAAAATTCCTTATGGATTCAATGAAGATATCACACACTGAAGAAACTAAAGTCGGAAACGAATTTGTGCGTGGTGTCTCTGGTGGCGAGCGGAAGCGAGTCTCCATTATCGAGTGCATGGCGACAAGAGGCTCAATCTTCTGCTGGGACAACAGTACTCGTGGCTTAGACGCTTCTACTGCACTCGAATGGGCGAAGGCTATTCGTGCAATGACTGACATTCTGGGCCTTACCACCGTTGTGACGCTATACCAGGCGGGTAACGGTATATTCGATCAATTCGACAAGGTTCTGGTACTGGATGAGGGAAAGGAAATTTTCTATGGACCCGCATCTGCGGCAAAGCCATTCATGGAAGCTCAAGGCTTCGGTTTTACTGACGGTGCTAACGTGGCCGACTATTTGACCGGTGTCACAGTACCAACAGAACGGAAGATACTCCCCGGGTACGAGATCTCATTCCCCAAAAATGCGGAAGAACTCACCAAAATCTATCGGAACTCCGATATCTGCCAAGTTATGATGGCTGAATACGACTATGGATCAAGCTCACTGGCCACGGAGCGGACAAATGCACTCAAAGAGTCGGTGGCATTCGAGAGGAGCACGTCCCTGCCGAAGAGTAGCCCAATGACCTCCGGATTCCTAGACCAGGTGAAAATATGCATTTCCCGACAGTATCAAATCATTTGGGGTGAGATGTCCACATTCGTCATTCGACAGTTCATTTCTCTCGTTATGGCGCTGATTGTGGGATCTTGCTTTTATGATTCTCCGGACACGTCAGCTGGTCTATTTACGAAAGGTGGCGCGATCTTCTTCGCTCATGTATATCAAGTCACCCAGGCAATGGCTGAAGTCACCGGCTCCTTCAAAGGACGGCCTGTAGTGACCAAACACAAATCCTTTGGCTACCATCATCCGGCGGCTTACGCTTTGGCTATCATTACTGCCGAGCTTCCAGTGGTCCTTATCCAATGCACAATCTTCTCGGTAGTGTTGTACTGGATGGTCGGCCTGAAGGCAACGGCTTCTGCATTTTTCACGTTTTGGATCATTATCATTGCTATCACTTTGGTATGTGTAGCCTCGATCATTTGTTTCCCTTTCCAACTCTACCTAACAGATAAAGCATGGATATAGATGCATCTCCTTCAATGATTGCTGACGTTATCACCTGCTAGTGTGTGAATGCTCTTTTCAGAGCCATCGGTGCCGCGAGTAGCAATATCGAGGTGGCTTCTAAGCTTTCTGGCGTGTCGATGAAGTTCCTAGTGATGTATACCGGTTATATGATTCCTAAACCAAACATCCGAAACTGGTTCGTGGAGTTCTACTACGCAAATCCACTCGCCTACGCTTTCCAAGCCGGCCTGACCAACGAATTCCATGACACCACTATGCCTTGCGTCGGCACAAGTCTGGTTCCTTCCGGAAGCGGCTACAATGATCCGAGATACCAGTCCTGTTCGGGTGTAGCTGGGGCTGAAAAAGGCGCTACTTACGTCACTGGTGACAACTATCTCGCTGCTCTCCACTACAAGCACTCTCAGATGTGGCGCAATTTTGGAGTTGTATGGGGATGGTGGGCGTTCGGCGTGGGCCTGGCTATATTGGCTACCTGCATGTGGCGTACCCAAAATGCCGGCAGCAATGTCCTGCTTATCCCGCGTGAGAAGATGTCGCACTTCCAGGGACCAAAGGACGAAGAAACCCCACCGACCCAGGAGAAGCAGCATGGCAACACTCCTATCCCAGGTGATGACAACCACAACGAACCTAATCTGGTACGAAATACGTCGGTTTTTACATGGAAAAACCTCAGCTATACAGTCAAGACTCCTTCGGGAGATCGCGTCCTCCTGAACGATATCTATGGCTGGGTGAAGCCCGGAATGCTTGGTGCTTTGATGGGATCATCTGGAGCTGGTAAAACAACCTTGCTGGATGTCTTAGCGCAGAGAAAAACTGAAGGCACGATCCGCGGCAGCGTTTTGGTTGATGGGCGTGAACTCCCCTTGTCGTTCCAAAGAATGGCAGGTTATTGCGAGCAACTCGATGTTCATGAGCCTTATGCCACCGTGAGAGAAGCGTTGGAATTCTCAGCTCTTTTAAGACAGTCCGAGGTGGTACCCCGGGAGGAGAAACTGGCCTATGTAGACACTATCATCGATCTTCTGGAGCTTCATAATCTTGCAGATACATTGATTGGTACTGTGGGTGAGGGTCTCAGCGTGGAGCAACGAAAGCGCGTTACCATCGGTGTTGAGCTTGTATCGAAGCCGAAAATTCTGATCTTCCTCGATGAGCCTACTTCGGGACTTGATGGTCAATCTGCGTTCAATACAGTTCGATTCCTACGCCGCTTGGCTGACGCGGGCCAGGCAATCCTAGTAACTATTCATCAACCATCTGCTCAATTGTTTTCTCAATTCGACACTCTGCTTCTCCTCGCTCGTGGAGGCAAGATGGTCTATTTTGGTGATATCGGGGACAACGCGTGCACGATCAGGGACTACTTTAGTCGATACGGTGCACCTTGTCCTATCCAAAATAACCCTGCTGAACATATGATTGACGTGGTCACTGGTGGTATTGAGGCTGTGAAGGATAAAGATTGGCACACAGTCTGGCTTGAGTCTCCCGAGAATGCCGCTCGCCTTGAAGAACTTGATCTAATAGTCTCAGAGAGTGCTGCAAAACCCGAAGCAGAATCTGACGACAGAGAATTTGCGACCTCACTTTGGACCCAGATCAAGATTGTGACTGGGCGCATGAGTATTTCCTTGCTGAGGAATACGGACTATGTCAACAACAAACTGGAGTTGCATATCATTTCTGCATTTCTCAATGGATTTTCATTCTGGCACCTTGGGTCCGCGGTGTCCGATCTTCAGTTGAAGCTATTTACTATTTTCAATTTTACCTTCGTCGCGCCGGGTGTTATCAACCAACTCCAACCCCTTTTCATCCAACGTCGTGATATATACGATGCTCGTGAAAAGAAGTCGAGAATGTACTCGTGGAAGGCATTTGTTACGGGTCTGATTGTCTCGGAGTTTCCGTATTTATGTCTCTGTGCTGTGTTATACTTTATTTGCTGGTATTACCAGACCAAATTGCCACATGCCTCTAAGGACGCCGGGGCCACTTTTTTCATCATGTTGACCTACGAGTTCATCTACACCGGAATTGGACAATTCATCGCGGCGTATGCCCCGAATGCTACCTTTGCCGCACTAGTCAATCCTTTGGTTGTGAATTGCTTGGTTCTGTTCTGTGGTGCGCTGGTACCCCAGCCAGAGCTCAACGTCTTCTGGAAGTACTGGATGTACTACTTGAATCCGTTCACCTACGTTCTGGGAGGCATGCTCACGTTTGGCATATGGGACTCTAAGGTCAACTGCAAGCCGAGTGAACTCGCTTACTTCGATTCCGTGAATGGAACGTGTGCGTCCTACCTCAAGGATTATATGGCCACTGCTGCGGGGTCTGCCATCAACCTTCTCAACCCGGATGCAACTTCTCAATGTGAAGTGTGTAAATACTCGCATGGAAGTGACTTCTTGAAGGGTCTCAATATCAAACATCACTATTACGGCTGGCGGAATGCCGGTATCTGCGTGATCTTTGCTATCAGTGGGTATGCCTTGGTCTTTGGTATGATGAAGCTTCGGACCAAGGCCTCCAAGAGAGCCGAGTAAGCGCTGGAAGGTTTCTTTCTTTGGTACCACCCTTTGCTTTAATTCCCTCGGTCTCTTCGGAAGTTGGGAGTATCGTGTATGTGTGGGTGCTTCATCGGAGAAGAAACTCGCCATGTGTTTGGGCCATCTCCAATTTCTTTCTTTGTGCCCAAGTCAAGTGTATGATTGACATGTCAGCATGTCACTGGGTTTTCTTCAATTTGCAATATCATTCCAGTTAGAGATGGGAGCACAACGAGCAAGGCCATGATACATATATATATGACATATAGAAATAGAACTACAATATCAAGGATGATAATCGCTTTATCTTTATCACTGTATCGCAACCAACCTACATAACGGTCTAGATATTCACAATAAGCCGGATGTTCATTCTAGACCGGGTTTCTTCCAGTGACGTGGTTTAGGGACCAGCAATTAAAGATCCTTGGGTGGCAAGATAGTGCCATCAACAACCATGTGGCGAGACGTTTCAAGTAAAAATAGAACCGAACAACTCCCGGGTATAAGGCACAGGATTCAAATGATCAACCGGTACCATGCATATGAGTTTCGCGTGTCCTGAAGAACCAAGCCAATAGTTGGATCGAAACCCATCCACGGGTACATGAAAGAGAGTCTTAGAGGTACAAGAGCTTGCTGAGCTAGGAAGGTGGGGCAAAAGAAGTAAATTATCATCTTTCAGCAGGAGTTGCCGTGTCTGTGATAGCTTTATTGGAGATTGAGAATGTGCTTGTTTGTGGAACGGACCCATGCAAAGCGCACATACCTATGAACTAGGGACTGTAACTAGCTGACACGCTAAGGGGTGCGAACCACTTTCCCTGATGTAAAGTATAGGTACGGAGTACGGAGTAACTACATGCAAAGTGCGCACATGCAGGTATAGCTTAAATTAGAACTCAGGGTAACCTAATCCCTACTTTATAGATGCCCAGCCATATACGGGGCATGTGTTTGAGGTTTACTTACTTTCCTGAGTAGGCTAGACTTCTATTCTTCAGAGACTTCCGTACATAACGGAAAGATTGTAATACAATTAAGTGGAAATTTACGGCCATCAGGGGCCAACCAACACCCAAAAAGGGAGAAACGCCAGGCCGTTGGAAAAAGCCACTTCCAGGGTCCTCCCAGTATCTTTTTGATTAAATTGAGCTTGTTCGACTAACTTTCCTAGCCCAAATGCAATATAAATTTACACCAATAGTGGAATAGACGGGCTACGGCTTCGAATCTCCTTGCAACCCCTCTACCCCAGTCTTTTCCCTTAATACACGGGGCTTTGACCTCCATCTAATACCTTGAAGTGTTCTCCAATATATAGAAAGTATCTAGTATACAGAGGAGTCCCCTTTCTCTGCTTGTACATGGATCTCAAACGCTGGTTTATCCAACAATTAGCTGTTTTAGGCCCCATGCACAGAATACTCGACCGGATATTCCGCCCAATGCTCCGTACGTAGCGGAATAAAGGAAATTGAGGTAACCGACCTACAGATGCCGGCTTGCTATTATGCTTTGGGCGTTATAGCAGCTCCGCTACCGTTTGTAGGATACTCCACAATGGCACGGCGCTCCATCAAGGTGATCATGGCCAAAAAGAGCATGTGCTTCAGTCTTACGGAGTACACAATTACACAATACTACATATACACGTACCTTGTTTCAATTGTACATTTCTATGCAACCAGGTAGATCAAGTTTCAGAGTGATGGGGCTTTCTTTGCTTTATGGTCAGATCAAGGTGCTTTGCATTAAGATTTTCAGTAATCCTTGACGAGTAGTGGGGGAATCATTTTTCTAGACACCTCCAACATCGGAAGTTAATCACGTCCCGCCCTAGGAAATTTACACACATGCTCAAGCCGAGAACATTTGATCGGGAGTAGCCGATAAGAAGATAGGAGAGACGTCGGCTCTACCCGAAGACTTTAGTGCAGTCAATTTACCCACTTTAATTGCAAATGACCCTGTGGATGTCACAATTGTGGGACTTTTAGTGGGAACACTGCACGGCCGATAGATAGAATCCATAGCCGATGTACGAATCTAGACTAGTCTCATAGTACTCCTTACGGATTAATGAAACGTGAATTACTACAGCGATAGGACGAAAGGAATGAAACAAATGAGGTTCAACACTCAAAAAACTGTATTATATTCATATGGTTGTAAAATAGCAAAGAATAAACAATGCCTTTGGCGAGTGTATATAGACTTGATTTATAAGGCTGTGAAAGACCTAGTCATTACGGAGTTTTATCAAAGACTAGAAAAGGCCATTGTATGGAGGTAACTGTCTCCGTATTCAACGTATAGAAGGCCTCAGTCCCCTCACGTTTCTCCCATAATCCACATAGAGCAATTTCTTTTACCACCAATCAGCCAATCGATGAAAAGAAAAGAAAAAACTAAAGAGAAAAAGTAAATAACATCGCCCTTCTCTAGTTACTCCGAACTACCTAACAGAATGACTTCCGATTCTAGACTCCAAGCCAGTGTGTTCATGAATGATAAGGGTCGAATTGCAGATCCGCACGACGACATGCCCAATTATCGCTGGGTTACAGCGCATTTGCCCGAGAGTATGTCGTGTGATGGGCAAAGCGACGAGGAGAGATTATGAACCTTGTACTATGTAAGATACAGATTTGGAATGTCATCATTGGTGACAGTGCCCTGCATAGCTTAGGATTCTATTGCCTTTCATTGCCGGTTAAAGTTGCACCCGGGGAAAGCACCGGCGAAGTTTTGTCTTATGCTGAAACTCTCGCAGAATGGTGGCTCAAGCAAATCCGCCTGGGTAGGGTCTGTCTTGACCAGTACAGTATTTTTGAAGCCACATGGCGTTCCCTAGAGCACACTAACAGCCTAGAGAATGTACCTCAAGGGTGGGGCCAGTCTCGAGAACCCAGCAATGCGTTGTAGATTACCTCTCATGGAAAGGGATTGGCGTATATCCGGCACAGAATACCGAATAATTTCTTTTTCTGAGGAACGGATATCCCGGAGTATAGCGAATATTTGCCGGTGATCGACTAACGAGATACCTAAGAGGGCATGTGGCAAGCGTAAAAGCCACCGTGGGGGCGGAGAATTGGGGATAGTCTCATAGTTTAAATTTCCAAAAGTTCAGTCTGCATGTTGTAATATGATATCTCCAGAGCTTAGGGTTTGAATTTGATAGTCTATCTAGTCCACGGAGTACTCCGTAACCATAACGTTTATACTCCACTGAAGTAGTCGGTTAATAGAAGAGTGTTCCAGATTTATTCACTGTGGAAAGAATCTTGGAGTCTTGGAATATGCTAAGGAAGTTTTAATTGCTATTGCATCATCAAAAATGGCACATCTAGATATCGTCAGTCTCTAGCGCAATTAAGCGACGTGTAATGCAATATAGACGAGATGATCAGCAAATTTATATAATAATAGCTCAGATATATAGCTCACCGTTGAAGTCATGAAACCTCCCGGACTTCCCCCTGCAGAGATCTCCCTTTCAGCCCCCACTAAAAGAGAAAAAAAAAAAAAAATTGGAACTTCTAGTCAGCCGGGTACTCTGTATCCATTGATGTCCATTGATGTGCATGGCCCCTTACAGGATTTCCTACAACAAATAAAAATCAGCTAGGAAAATCAGGCAATGCTTCGATTTGACCGCCAAGACACTAACAGACGGAGCTTTCCCGAGGCCCTAAGAGAAATATTGACACGTGTGGTTCTCTCCACACTTTGTAGTTTTCTTCCAGAGTTCATCACGTAGATACGAAATGCTTCAAGGTATGCAACAGCTGTGATGATGGTTTAAACGAGGGAACTATATGATGATCCTTCTCAATCTGTAACTGACGGGCAACTCACGGCTAATTGACCGTAGGACCGGGTAGAATGCCGGGTGTGCACCCGGGCACACAGAATTGATGATTCGATGTAACGTAGTGGAGACTATTTACTTGCTCTAAAATATGGACTTGATAGATCAAGCCTAACCTAATATGGAGAAACAACATGAGAATTTAGTTTTGTCACGGTCCTTTCAGGGGATGATCTTATCGACCCTGAAGCCCTAAATGGGGTCCTCAATTCTACTACATAGTGTGTTGTGTGTACCGACGCGTTTGGCCCCCAAACTATCCAGAAGTGCATTGTTCATACGCAGCTATTCGTCCCCTGACTCGCTGCGCTGTTGATCCCCACACGTGTTAACCAGCATGTTGGAAGATCGCTATTCCAGTCTAGTCTAGTTCTTCAAAAGGCGATGAGTGGAGAACGCACATCCCAACTAATGCTCTTGCCTCTAGTTATCTCCATCGTGCAGTTACTATAATCCTTTTTACGTTAGATCGTGATTTGAAAAGGGTTGCCCCATTGCTAGTTTGTTGTTCTATTCTTGGATTTTCTTCCCTTTTAAGGGTCGATGTTGGACTCGCCCCGTCGATTATATCCATCAAAATTCTCCATACTGTCCTTCCTTTACCCCACAAGGAGACGAACAGCTCCTGTGTTTTGAATACACATATCTGTTTCTCCTGTCCTTACATAGGCTATCAGAAAGATGTCAACCTCTCTTGACCAGACCGCTAGCAATGCGCCGGACGCATCCAATGTGCGGTGGCAATTCATCGACTCTTCGAACAACAGTCGAACCAATCTAACCCAAGTGAAGCGCCATGTTATGCAAGAATATATGCGCCAGAAGAAAGGTGGCGCTCGCCAAAGTGAAAGTGAAGAGGAGACACCACGACCAAAACGTGGGAGGCCCAAGAAGACTCGGGGTGCGCAACGGAAATCCGACAAGAAAGAGAAATCAGACGGTGACAACAATAACAATAGACCTCGAGCAAGAAGATCAACCAGAAGGCAATCTACACGCAAAGAAGACCTCAACCTCGAGATCAACTGCGATGTGTTTGTTTCGAATCCTATCTCGTCGGACCCTCCATTGATCGAATCCAATGATGTGCCCTCGTTTCCCCCTTTCCGACCATCTTCTGCCGAATCTCAAGATGTTCCCCTTCCACTAGATGGCTTTGTCGATGTACATCCACAGAGTTCTCCCAGCCATGATTTATATTTTAACAATTTCTCTTGGTCATCACCCTCCACAATCTCATACCAGTTCATGCCATCACCAACTACTATGATCAGCGATGCACAAATCGACACATTCAGCACACTTCCACTTCCTGCAGAGTTGGGTCGAGATGGACACAGAATATTCGACTCCTATGCGAACGATATTCCAGCTTCCTACGGACCCCATTACCGGTCTCCCATGGCCCACAACGGTTATACACCGGCTTTCGTGGCTGAAACAATGAAAGGTACCATCGCATTCCAAAATATCATTCTCATACATGCAGCTAACACTTCGTAACTAAGGCGACACTCAAAATACTCTTCTTCACAAAGATCGAGCTGTCTCCGTGCTCCGGGAGCACCGCGCCGACAACCCCCATGACATCTCTAACGTCGCAATCATGCCATGCCTGAGTGCCGCAGCCTTAGAGGACTGCGATTCCCGACCAGGTCACAAGGAAATAAGCTGGGTACATATGCGAGCTGCACGGGAGATGATACGAGCACGTGGTGGTCCCGTTGCATTTGCAAACACTCGCATCGGCATGATGACCAACTGGCAAAACTACATCTTGCCAGGATATGAGACTCATGGGCCCAGCTTCCTCTACGACTACGACCAACATGCCCCAGTTTCATCTACATCTCTAGCAACACTGCCTCACTCCATCCCAAACCCGCGCTCAATGCCATCTCCACCATATTCCACCTCCTCAGCATTCTCAGAGGTCTCGCCCAGCCCCGAACCTCGAACAATGCTACCATCACACACAGAAGCGATCCCAGTAGACGAGATCAAATTCCAATGCGAAGAATTCTTCGACTTTCTCCGACGCTGTGAACAACTCGCCCTATACCAACGCGATAACCCGCAATCATCCTACATAACCCGACACACAGCAGTTCAAGAAACATCCATACTCCACAAAATTCTCGCGGCGCCCCCGGGTGCCCAATTCACAACATCAGACGACAGAACACAAATGGTCGCCCGCTTAACAGCGTTGATCACACTCAATGCCGCGATGTGGGATTACCGCAACACCCCAGCGCGCGCAGCGATCTTCCTCGATACACTAGAGAAATCCATAGTTGACAGTGAAGTTGGCATAATTGGCTCCGTTGAGGCGAGGCTTCAAACCCTGCTCAAATGCAGCGACGGCACTCTTGATGGCTGGCCCACCAGTGCCGATGGCTTCGCTTCTGCTGCTCCGGTAGAGGAGCTCCCAGACTTCTCACAGTACTTCCCGACTGCTACTTCGCCCTCTGCGCGCCCGTGGTTCGCAGGCCGTATGCTGAAGGTTGCTAATCGGTTGAGTTCCTTGTCGTGGTTCCGTGTTAATGAGTTTTTATTCTCGTGTTTGACACTCCAAGTGCAGAAGCTGTCTACGGCTCTCTGGGAAGCGGATCTTCGTCGAGAGATTCTCGATGCACCGACTACTTATGTTATGCGCTCATTCACTGAGTAATGTATAGCAGTGGCCTGGACCAGATGACATGTATTTGTTCTTATGTTTTGATGTTTATGTTTTTATGTTTTTTACCCTCCAGTATCACTTCTTCGGAGCTTCTTGTATATACCCTCGTTATCGCTTATAACATACTGTCGATTGTTGACGAACCTAGAGAACTTTCAAGTGACAAAGCTAAAGTCTATATGTTATAAACGTGTATCTTTATCTGACAGAGCAGTAATTCATGGATATTCACTCCGTGATGTCCCTTGTAGTATAACCAACAGCTTCAGCACCGCTGTCACTGTCCATCGACTCCACATTTATAACCTGGGTAATGACTTGCTAACAAATAGTCAGCCCGGGGGAGCCATTATCCTGAACTTCCAAAACAAGATGCAATAATTTCCACTTCATAATTACCTAGCGACTAATAATATCCATACAGCACTGCCATGCAATTTCCGGCACGCGGGAATTGTCGTTAAACACCCGTGGGCTATCAATCTACTCTCACTTCCACTGCCACCTCTCTTATTAAAACCCTACACAACACCACCAGTTTCTCCTTCGTCCATCACAGCCAATCGATACCCCAACCATCGTCTCACATGATCCTCACTACGAAGGCATCATGGCAACCCATCTTGACGATACCAACAAGCGCCATGACGAAGAACACAATGAGCGCATCAAGCTGAAAACGACTTTTGAGCTATTCACAAATGGCGCACAGTACATGGGTAAACAGAAATTAATTAAAATCACTTCATGAATGTAACAACCTTTTAATTCAAACACGATAAAAATATATAATAGAACATTAAAGTGAAGACATAATACCAGAAAGAAATATAATCTTCATATCTACACCTCCCCACTCCCCACCAAACCCTTAGATACAGATCGCCAGGAGAATAACCATTATAGAACCCACAACCTGCATTATCGACGACCGAGTAGCTCCAGATGCGGCCCCGGTATACACCGGACTCACTGCACCCGTCGCAGTGGAAACGGTAGCCGTGGCCATCCCACTAGAGTGGCTGCTGGGGAACCACAGATGAGTCGAGGAGGCAGAGACAGAACCACTAACTCCAACTCCGGAGCCCCGGTGTGGGGTGTGAAGAGAGGGAGCTGCGGTGGGCTCAGCTGCGTTGGTCTGGGTCACCACGATAGTGTTGATATACCCGGTACAGGTATCATCATCAGAGCAAGATTCAACGACGATGGTCGTCGTGTAGACTGGGCCTGCACCTGCATCTGAGCCTGATTCTGCAAACCCAGAGCCAGATTGAGATTCGAGAGAAACACCGGTAGCTTGAGGGTTTGCAACAGTCACGGGGACAGTGTTGGTTTGGACGCCTTCGGCTGGGATGGATGGGTGGCCCGGGTAGACTGGGAAGACAGTCGTTGCGACAGCGAATGTTTCAGTTGTTGCGTAAGAGGTCTTTGATCTCAGGGGGCAATCAGTCACAGATTCGGGGCAGGCAAAGACGGTGGCGGTGCGGGTAGCGAAGATAGTAGATGTGGTGAGCTTGGAAGCGCCATTCTCACCACCTCCTATTGCTTCAGTGGTAGAAGGAGGTGTAATATTCTTAGTAGACACAGCGCTGTTGACACCAGTAGCATCTGCCACGGGACAAACCGTCGTGGAAACAATTAGGGTTTCAGTGGTCAAGTATGTGGTCTTAGATCTCAGGGGACAATTGGTCACTGAAGATGGGCATGCGGTGATGGTGGCAGTGCGGGTACTATAGACGGTGGAGATTGTGAAGTCTGAGCTACCGTTTCCATGGCTATAATCACCAGCACCTCCAGTGGCGGAAAGAGAAGCAGCTGCTGTCTTGGTGGGGCCAGAAGTCTCGGTAAAAGGGCAGATTGTTGTGGATACCAGAATTGTCTCCGTGGTCACAAATGTGGTTTTTGAACTAGCAGGGCAGTTGGGGACTGTAGTAGGGCATGCAGTGATAGTAGCCGTGCGTGTAGAAAAGACCGTTGATGTGGTCAACTCCAATGTAGAGGAACCAGAGGCCACACTGGACTGAAGCGCTCCGGATTGGGTCGATGTAGGGATATAAGTGACAACTGTGGTGGTATCATCAGAGGCAGACGTCGAGATGCTAACCTGTGAAGTAGACGATCCAAGTCCAGTGGTTGCTCCTGGAGGGCCACTAAATTGCGAAGTTCCAGATGAAACAGAGCCTGACGCAGACACAACAATAGATGGGTTGGTAACAGGAGTGGAAACAGGGACTGAAGGGGTCTGAATAGCCACAGATGACGAGTGAGGTCCAGGTGTATGGCTCCAATGCGGCCGAGGTGAGTGACTAGGAACTACACTTAGAAGAGGAGTCGAAGTGGGGATCACGCTAGAGGCGAGCACTGCCGATGAAGAGCGGACAGGACAAGGCTTGCGACTAGGCAGGGGCCTAGAGACATAAGACCAATGGTGATGGTGGTGGTGCTTATGATGATGCTGGTTATGATGTGTCGCCACAGCAGTAGGAGTGGGAGTCACAGTTGGCTCAGCAATCAGTGTCGTAGCGAGACTGGTTTGCAGTAATAATGCGGCCACAATCCATCCTCGAAGAAGAAAAGAGCCCATCTTGACCTTAATCGAAAGGATTGAACGATTGGTGGTATGATGATGAGAAAACAGCGAAAAAGAATGACTAATCCAACAAGCAGAAAAGAATGACTGATAGTTGGACAGGGAATGCAAAAAGAGTGGAATAATTCAAAATTCAAAATGAAGCCATCGCGAGGAAATGTGCCTCGTATATACTTTTATCGCTTAGGGTTTCCGTACTCGCAACTCGGAGATGCCGACAACAACAAAGTCAGAACGTAAGTTAGTCCACAAGCTAACGTGGGCAAAATACTCCAGTTCCTTGTTTTTCCCCTGGATGTGAGATAAACTATTGACGCCATTGACGCCTCCGCTCGCTTGTTAGTGCTTTGTCTAAGATCTGTACATCGATGTGGTGAAAATAGCCGGCCGAGACTCCCACCCAACACAAAAGGGAGAACTATTTAGTGCGAGGATGTTCCAACCAAGCCCAATTCTCTATATTGATCAAAAAGCATCTTGTGAAATATAAAAATGTCAATCCGTCGCTTTGCCCTCGCCGCAGCCCTTCTGCTCGGCCAGGTTTCAGCCAGCACGCCTGTGGCTAGCTCTCCACCAGCCAGCAGTCAAGCGCAGGTGGCCACAGCAACTTGTCGAACGGAGTTAGGACATATGTCGGTGAAGTCGGTACCTACCACAACAATCACTCGTACCATTCATCAGCGTACCCCCATCGTTATCCTTACAACGACTCTGGAAACCGTCACAGTCACTCCTGCTGTATTGACTGAGATAGTGACGGACTATGAAACCACTGTCATCACCTCTACAGCTAATGCAGTCACTGATACATTCTCAACAACCTCAACTGAGTTTGACACTGCGACATTGACTCTTACTCCTTCTCCTATCACCACAACCGTCGCCGAGGTCATCTCGACTATCTCGACCAGCACGTCCACCATTGCCACTTCTGCAGGCTTTACTCCCATTGCAGACACTCTGCCTCCCAGTGTTACTGCTAAGCGCTCATTGGAAGAACAGGATGATTGTTCTCCTTGGGTGGATGATTACAGGTATCCCCAAGCGGTCATCTGTCATGAGAAGAACATCATCAAGACTACAACTGTCTCTACTGTCACCGGATCACCCATCACTGTCATCGTGGCAACTCCTACAACCACAGTGACAGTCACCGCGACCATCACCAGCAGCTCAGTGGTTCTTCCCTCGGATGTCTCCACCACACTGAGCTTCAGCACCACCTCAACCGTCACCGAGACAACAGTTGCTCCGGGTGAAACCAGCACGGTTACTTCCACTAGCACTGTTCAAGCAGGAACAACCACCACATCTTTCTACGCAGCCTGTGCCACGAACAACATCGCTGGCAGTCCTCTCTCTTCGGACTTCGGCTCGGCTGCAGGCAAATACATCTACTCGCTTGAGTTCAGCAAAGTTACCGGTGCCAAGTTAACGGTTGGTAACACCGCCTCCGCATACGAATGCTGTGCCAGCTGCATGAGCAGTTCCACTTGTGCCATGTCATACTATTACTCGTCTGGCTCCATCAAATACTGCTATATAATGACCACCACCTCTTGCTCGTTTACTTCTAACTATGGCACGGCGCATCTTCAGGGCAGCGAGTCCGGTGCACAAGTCTCTAATGGAAACTGCGGACATGTGATTGGCTCATATAGTTAGATATGTATAGATGGATGTATAGTCTGGCGTGGATTGCTGTATAGCTGATTTAGTATCGGAATTCATATAATGTGTATACTGCATTAATATTGTAACCTTTTTTGGTATGCGCCTAGACTCCTCTATGGATAATCAGCCTAGGTGATCTGGAAAAGATCATCGCTTATGTATAGATCTCGCAGGATTGGTTCCAGGTAGGTAAGCCCTGGAGATCACGGGAAGTTCCGAGTGACTATTCCCAGGTAGGTATGTGGGCACGTGCCCAGGTGGGTATTGTATGTGGTTTGATGCATATTAGCCTTTATGTGTTGGCTACAATAATGAATGTGAGTGCTTGTAAATGGATCTGGGTGGTTTTTCAATCAACTGTTCCACGGATGGAATTTGTCGAGGGCATGAGTAATACGTCCGACAACGGCGTGCAGGGGTTCTTATTTTGTGCCCTGAAGAGGAGGCCTGTGAGATATTTTGCCGAGTTTGCCGCATATCCTAGAGGGTGATCAAGGCAAAGCCGTCCACTGGGCGCATTGGAGTACATCTCAAATGGACGGAGAGGGACTAGCCCTGGCGGGATCTGCTTAAAAGGGGTCCGTGCATTTGATGCCTGAATCTGCAGGTGAATATCATAACGCGGTAACCATGGAAAGTTGGTTTGGGGGCCAAAGTTAAAAATGAATTTTCTAAAATTGCCGCACGTTGCGCATTATGACGCCTCCCAGGTGCCCAGGTGCACCCAGTGGGCACCTGGGAGAACCAAAGTGTTGGGAAAACAGGGCCCTTTCACATGCAAATCTTAAAAGTGGGCCCTGGATTTCATGTGATTTTACTAGTATTTGTTGAGGGTAGAATGGTATGAGGTAGCTTAGATAAATAAGTATAGAGAGATGAAGAAAACAGAATAAACAAAATAAACAAAATATATCAATTGATCGAAATAGAAGTAAGAAAAGATCATAATTGCCCAAGATGGACAAAATCCGGAGAATGCGATAAGGAAGCCCGTTCCCGGAGAACCCCACGCGAACACGGTGTACAGTGCCCTGGAACATGAATGGATGCCATTGGCACCTCTCGAAGCTCTTAGAACTTTAGACTCTCAACAAAATTTCGTATTTCTTTGTCCTTCTCTCTCCCGTCAAATATCGAGATTTCCATTGACCACAACTTGATACAATCATCCCTTTGTTTTCCACCTTATTTAGTGAAATTTGGTAGCGTTTAACTTGTATAGCGTGATCCTTCCCTCCTTACCGAAACAATGGCCATCCTCGACATCACCAAGGATTTGCCCACACTCTTTAAGCGACAGGTGCAGGCAACCCCAGATGCTATCGCCCTAGAAGATGAGACCACGACATATACATATACCCAATTGGATCAAGAAGTTGAGGCTCTTGCCAGTCGCCTACGGACCTATGGAGTGAGCCGTGACACCCTCGTGGGTGTGCTCCTACCTCGCAGCGCACATTACGTGATTGCCTGTCTAGCAGCGCTCCGTGCGGGCGGTGCCTTCCTTGTTCTCGAATTGGCTTACCCCGCGGACCTCTTGGCGGATGTCATCGAAGACGCTAGTCCCGCCGTGATTATCACTCACAAGTCCGAAGCCGACAAAATCAAAGCCCCCGTCCCGGTAATTGCTTTGGATGGACCCGTGGCCGAAATCAACGGAGACGCCAAGGAACCTTCTCCGTTGCCGGCAGATGACGATTTGGACCGCTTGGCGTTTGTGTCTTATTCGTCAGGAACAACAGGCAAACCCAAGGGAATCGCCAATCCACACCGCGCCCCGGTACTATCATACGATTTGAGATTTGCAGTGCAGGATGTACAACCAGGGGATCGGGTGGCCTGCAATGTCTTCTTCATCTGGGAGATGTTGCGGCCGCTATTGCGTGGAGCCACGGTGGTGATCGTGCCCGACGAAACGAGCTATGACCCCGCGGCTCTGGTTGATCTGCTCGCAGCTAAGAAGGTCACGGAAACGCTCATGACACCCACTCTTCTGGCTACCGTTCTTTCGCGTTATCCCCGGTTCGGTACTCGTGTGCCTGATTTGCGCATCATTTGGCTGAACGGTGAGGTTGTGACAACCGATCTTGCCCGCAAGGCCATCAAAATTCTTCCCAATACCCGCTTGCTTAACTGCTACAGTGCGTGTGAAACGCATGAGATCGCCTGCGGAGATATCCGTGATGTGGTCGATGACGACTCCATTTACTGTCCGGTCGGCCCGTCGATTGTTCCATCATACACCTACGTTCTAAACGAGGATGGAAAGGAGGTAGAGACAGGGACATCCGGAGAACTCTTCATCGGTGGTCCTCTGTTGGCGCGCGAGTACATTAACCTTCCCGAAACCACCGCCAAGGCGTTCATTCCGAATACCTTCGATTCTACCCCCGGTGCTCGCATGTACAGGACGGGCGATCTCGCCCGCAAGCTGCCTTCCGGGTCCCTTGAAATCACCGGCCGCGTCGGTGCCATGATCAAGCTGCGCGGATATTCAGTTGTTCCGGCAAAGGTGGAAAGTGACATCTGCCAGTACTTGGCTGTCAACCAGTGTGTTGTCACTGCGTACGGCGATGGACTGGACCGACAACTGGTCGCATATGTTGTTCCAGATGAGGCTTCCTCCGATCGCCCTTCGGTCGTGATCAACGAGTCCGGCCACTCCCCCAGCGCGCGTCGTGTCCTCGAGAACCGTCTTGCCCAGTACATGATCCCAGCTCTCTGGGTTGCACTGGACCAATTGCCTACTAACGAGGTCTCCGGCAAGGTTGATATGAAAAACCTGCCTTCGCCTCGTAGCTCCAGCCCTAGTGGCAGTGAGCAAAGCGCAGGGAAGGACCCGATTAGTCTCAATGACATTGCGGCAATCTGGGAGGCTGTTCTGAAAGTCTCGAAGAATCTGATCAAGGCTGAAGATAATTTCTTTGATCTGGGCGGTCATTCTTTGTCTCTGGCAGATCTGTCAGCTAAGCTTTCTAGACGTTTCGGCTTCCGCGTTCCTATTCCTCGTCTCGCAGAGAATACTACTCTTTCTGGGCACTTGGAGACTGTGCGTGCTGTCAGGGACGGCCATACTGAAGAGGTACAAGCAAATTTACCGGCGGTCTTGCTTTCCGATGCCACACTGGATGAGGATATTAAGCCCACCAATACCGCGATCACTTCAATCGCCAAAGCCGACACGGTGCTTTTGACTGGTGTGACTGGTTTCCTGGGCGCTTTCCTTCTGAATGATTTGATTGAGAACACCTCGGCTAAAATCATCTGTCTTGTGCGTTTCAGCGACCCCGAGCAGGACGATCAAGCCGGAGGTGTGGCTC